TAAATATTTAAAAATTAGCTAATATTTATTTTTATAAAATTTAATTTAAAAATCTCAACATATAAATATATTCTTTAAATTAATTTTATCATGATAAAATAAAATTATCATATCCAACCTAATAATTTAAAATTTAAGAAATTTAAATTAATTTATCCAAATAAAATATTTTAAAAATAATAAAAATTAAAATCAAAGTAATTTAAATAATAAAAATTTAGAATTCTTTAAATTTATAAAATTTTTCAGTCTTACTGTTAATGTTTTCTAGAAACACAGTAGTGAAGACAATCTAGATGGTCACTATACTGTTCATGGGCGTTATTTATGCTTCAGTGCAGGATTTAATTTTCATGAATTTATATAAAGCATATATTAAATTTATTAAAATATTTTAATTACATTTACTAAACTATTTTTAATTACATTTATTGTAAATGATGTTCTGATTTATTGTTTTAGAAGTATATTAATTTTTTAAGTTAAAAACATTATTATTTACTTATATTTGAGTTAATAAAATTTAAATATTTTTTTCTTATTTACAGCCAGTGAGTAAGAGAGATGACACATTTATTACCCGTTCAGGTTCAGGGCAGAAGGTGTTCTCAGGATATGGACACCTGCAGATGCTATGTATTCTCTGAAAACAGCTATGAAGTGGGATGAACATGTGTCACTCCTTATTTAGTAGTTTTAAATTCATTTTGATCAGATGGGTTGCTTTGATTGGAAAGAGTTCTTCTACGGACTTTTGATTTCTTACAAACTACAGTAGAGGAGTGGTGAATGCAAATGAAAATCCCCCTTGTTGTAGAAATTGTTTATTCCTTGTATTTCTACTTTTCCACTTCTGACACCCAATTCGGTGTCTGAAGGGGAGGTTGTATTTACTATATATTTAGTTTCCTGCACAAATCATCCGGTAATTTCTGTACTCGATGAAAATATACATTTTATCAGGTTGTTCTCTCAAGTCAATTTATAGGCTAAACTGTTCTATATGTTTATAACAATAAGTCTCCACATAAAATTAATAAATCTAATCATCGAACAGGATATAACGTCAAAATAGCAAAATACACGGTTTGCATTGAGGCTGATAAATCATTGTATCCGGTGCTATTATTGTCTAATGGAAACCTATCTAAATAATAAGTAATAATAGTATCTTTAAATTGAGAATTTAAATAGAATAATTTATTTATTTAATTTTTTTTTTATTTTTTGAGGTAAAATATTTTGGATGAAAAATTTATGAAGAATTTAAAATTTAAATATTTGTAAAAAAATTTAAAATAGTAAAATTTTAAATTTTTTCAAAAAAAAATAAGAGTTTGAAATTTTATATATTTTTTTCTTCTTATTTTTAAATATTTTTTTCTTATTTACAGCCAGTGAGTAAGAGAGATGACACATTTATTACCCGTTCAGGTTCAGGGCAGAAGGTGTTCTCAGGATATGGACACCTGCAGATGCTATGTATTCTCTGAAAACAGCTATGAAGTGGGATGAACATGTGTCACTCCTTATTTAGTAGTTTTAAATTCATTTTGATCAGATGGGTTGCTTTGATTGGAATATATTTTGTTTCAAATTCTGAAGAAATTTGCGGTCTTGTTACATGCTTTCCGAACAGGTTTTTGGACTTGAATATGACCTGGATCTCTTCAATGTGCTTGTTGTCCCAGATTTTAACATGTAATTTTTATTTACCTTTTTATTTTTTGAGATTTCAATCATATGACCCTACATACATTGTATTGGACAGAGGCGCCATGGAAAACAAGAGCTTCAATGTAAGTCCCCTTCTTGTCAGCTTGTCTCTGTTGGTTTATCTTTATTCACTTTGCACATTTATAATTTCCTTTTTTTGTTTGCAGATTTTTAATTCAACAGCTACTGATGCAGATTATGCTGCAATATTAGGAGTTATTCGTCACGAGGTTTGTAACTATCTTATTATATAATTTTTGAAGAGTGAGTTACTTTTCTAAAAACTAAATTTCTTTGGGTTGTCTTGATTAGATTATGACGGGAGCTTATTTCTTGTCTATTATGCAATATTTCCACAAATGGACGTGGTATTACATATCATAAATCTTGTTATCCTATCAAACTAAGGATTTTATATACTTTTATTCCCATTCATATAATGTTCTAATACTTTTTCTTACCTAGTTCTATTTCACTTTTGGATTTCTATTATATTATAAATCCAAGGTTTTTTTTAGGGCATTTGTTGTTTGCATGCTTATATCTTTTCATTCTGTGGGTATGTTAAAGCTTAAATTGAGCATTTCATTTAATAATATCAGAGTGACATGTCGTGACTTTTCAACTTAGTCTGAAGGAAGGTCTCCCTGTTTTTTGATCAGGCACAACCTATTTACCTTTGTTTCTTTGTTTTTGTTTCAATTTAAGGCATTACAATATTTTTCTTCCATTGATTTTTTTTTCTTTAGTTCAATGAGTTGAATTAATTATTGGGAGGAATTTTCATCCGACATGGGAAGTTGCACTTAAAGCGGATTGCTGATGTTTTAAAACAAAAATTTCCAATGTGGTAAAAAAAATTGGTAGACCACTAGACCTTATGGAGGTCGGACACTGATGGCAAGACAAAAGGCAAACAAATAAAAGAGGTTGTTGGCTTTGATTACAAGAGGTTCGATGAAAAAAGTCAAAATAAAAAATAAAAACTCGTTGGTTGGTTGAATGAGTATAGTGCGTAAGTTTTAAATCTTTTTAATATTGACTTTGATTCTCATGCATTAAAAAAAAAAAAAAAAGCAAAATACTATGAGATAATATCCGATTTTGAGTCTTTTAAAATTCATTTGTTCATACCAAGGATGGTAAAACGGGCAAGTCCGCCCCGTTTTGGCCCGTCCCGCC